TCAGTGCTCCTTTCGCTTCCTGCGTCTGACTTCCACTCGCATTTCTGTGTATGCCCAGTGAGAAGAGAACACATCTCTGACGTGTCTGCTAACTTCTGTTAACATCCTAACATGTCCACTTGCCTGGACTTCTCAGACTCCACCCTTCACAGTACCTAGTGTCCTGAAGTCATCCAAATGCATGAGTTAAAAGTGATATGTACCTTCCAGAAGGTGTAACCCATGCATCTAATAGGGAGCTATCTCTTTAAGAGACCTCTGGTGGGGAGGTAGGAGTGAGTGGAGTGTTACTCCCTCCACTCCCTGAACAAGCAAGCAGACCGCTTTCCCTCACTCTGCAGCAGGTACCGTTGTTGTTAACCCTCTACCAGGGATTACAAGCAATGCTACTTTTAGCAAGGAAAACCTGGGAGGTAAAATATCTTCTTCTGTGTTAATTGTCCACTTTAAATGCTGTTTTGATTTTAGCCAGACTGTTTTAGTTCACTTTCTCAGGCAGTGTGATGCTCCAGCTTCTCTGTAAATGTAGCAATGGGAAAAGAGTCATTTCTATTTTGTTAGTCTCCATTTTTGTATTTTCTTGTAACAGGGTTTTCTTTAAGTCTGTTCACTGGTGAGTTAACTGACTAGCTAATCAGTGAGCTGGCTGCCTAGCAGTGATCCATAGCAGAGGAAGAGCCTGCCTGGACTCCAGCTGAGGATTCCCTACAAGCAAGTTGAGAGATGATTCAGACTCAGCATATGGTGCAGATTTGAAGATCAGAGTCACAAACTGAGACTTTAGTGAACTAAAACTAAGCTTTTGGGATCTCTCGTCTCTTCTTACTGTGTCTGTGGGGACTGAATTGTTCATGTTTACTGTAACTATGGACCTTATCTGTGGGTTATAAAATAGCTGTATTCTGTTTTAAGAACTAGATTGTTTCTTCATAAGATTTTATAACGTTATTTAATTAAATTCATTTCTTTAGTTTCTTTGGAGCTGGAATGTAGGGAGGCTGACACTGGGCAATTCTTGCTGAAATTCCTCACAGACTGAAATCTGGGTCTAGTACTTTCTATGGGAGTGGGGATTTTTAGACACTGGAGAAGGGCAGTGAAGTCTAGCCCACAGAAGGTAAGAAAGGCACTAAATACCCTACAGTACCAGACCCTCTATGCTTTGTGTTAATTTATTCTTTACGGTGATAACAATAAATCCCACTGAAATCAACAGGAGTTTTGCCATTAACGTTGATGGTATAAGGCAGGGCTACTCAATTTTGGAAGCCCTGGGGGCCACAATGATACTCACAACGTATGCCGAAGACCACAACTTAAGCATGGTTGCATAGACATGCAAATATCTATGCAAATAGCTTCTTTCACACCGACAGGCATGAATACACAACACACAACCTCCATTTTAAGTCAGTTCTACTGATATTAATAAAATGCAATATTTACCTGATATCCACCCATATGACAGCACTTTTATTGAGCAGTGACAGTCCAGGAATTTAACTTCTAAAAAGCATATCAACAGGAGACCATTATATGGACTACTTTTCTGTTTTGGCTCCCACCCGCGGGCTGTGTGTTGAGCCCTGTGTAAACCCAAACCACACCGCAGGCTGCAAACAAACGGGACATGGGCTGCATGTGACCCACAGGTGTAGGCTGCGTGTTGAGTAGCCCCGGTGTCAGGTTTTTGCTATGATGGGACACACAATCTTACCAGAAACCCTCCTATGAACATTCTGATGTGGTGTGTGCACGCTTATGTATAGGAATGTCTTTCAAATTCCAATACATGTTCTTGCTATAAGCACCACACAAGCATGCATTACACTGGGGCTATGTCTACACTGCAGGCTTCTTGCGCAAGAACTGTTTTGCTCAAGAGTTCTTGCACAAGAGCACATCCACACTGCTCAAAGCACATCGCAAAAGTGAAGTGCTTTTGCATAAGAGAGCATCCACACTGGAGGGATGCTCTTGCACAAAGACCTCCCCCCTGGAACCACTTAGGACAGGGCAAAAGGGCACCAGGACCTTCCAGGGGTGGGGACTGCAGCCTCTCTGAGACACGTACTTAAAGGGTTCTCCCTGGACAGCTGTTTCTCTGCTGCTGCATGCTTTGGGACCTCTGGCAGGGACTCAAAGCTGTAGCAGTGCTTGTTGTGGTTGCCCTCAGCCTCTTTGGACACCACAGCTTGTGCCCTAGTGCCTTTGGGGACTTTTGCCTTCTCCTTGCTGTACTATGGAGCCAGGGATGGCCCTGTGCCTGCTCTGGCTCCACACGGCCATTTTGGAGTGCGTGCAGCTGCTGCTCTATGCTGCCTCGCTACTCCTGCATGAGCTCGACGCTGAGCTGTCTGGACTCTCTCTACCTGGATGCGGCAGCTTTGCTGTGGCATCCCTACCCCACCGTGGGGAGGCAATACTGGAGACTTGATGCCAGTTCTGAATGGTGGGACTGGCTGATCCTGGAGCAATGGGACAACCAGCAACGGCTCCAGAACTTTTGGATGCGGAAGCAGACGTTCCTAGACCTGTGTGCCTGGCTTGCCCCTGTGCTTCGCAGATGCAACACCCATCCCGTGTACAAGAGGGTCGCCATCACCCTGTGGAAGCTGGCTGCCCCGGACAGCTACTGCTTGGTGGCACACCAGTTCAGGGTGGGCAGGTCCACAGTGGGTGCCAGCTTGATGCAGGTAAGGCCCTTGGAGAGGGCGGGGGAGAGAAGGGCTGCAGTCCCAGCCCAGGAAAAGGGAAGACTCTAGGCTGGGAGGGTATGGTGTGGGGGAAGCCCTGTCACCCAGAGGATGGTGCCATCCCTCCCTCACATAGCCATGCTGGTGGTGGTGGGGTGCCGGGGCAAGGAGGCCCTTGTGTGTTTGAGGGGAGAGGGCATCAGGGGAGGCAGGCACCCCCAAGGGCTCATGCACCCTCCATGCTCATTCTATGTGTTCCCTGTGTTTCTGTGTGTCCTTCTGCAGGTTGTCAGAGCCATCAACAACATACTGCTCAAGAGGGTCATCTGCCTGCGGGACGTGGATGCAACCGTGGCTGGCTTCCCTGCCCTGGGGGTTCACCAACTGTGGGGGAGCCGTGGATGGGACCCACATCCCCATACAGGTACCGGAGCATCGAGCGGCCCACTTTATCAACCGCAAAGTGTACTTCTCGATGATGCTCCAGGCCCTCATGGACCACTGAGGCCGCTTCATAGACACATGTGGGGTGGTCGTGCAGGACACCTGCATCCTCCAAAACTCCAGCCTGTTTCACAGGATGGAGGCGGGCACTTTCTTCCCCCAGCGGGAATTGATGGTTGGGGACATCCGCATGCCACCGTGCATTGTGGGGGACGTAGCCTACACCCTGATGCCATGGCTGATGTGGCCATATACCAGACACATGGACCTCAGCTGAGAAAGATTCAACCTGCACCTGAGCTGGGCCCGCAACCAGGTGGAGCGGCCTTCGGATGGCTGAAGGCGAGATTTCATTGTTTGCTCACCAGTCTCAACATGGGTGAGCAGAACATTGAGGTGGTCGCAGCATGTTGTGTGTTGCACAACATTATGGAGCAGAAGGGGGAGGCCTTCCTCCCAGGGTGGATGGCAGGCGAGGGCCGGGCGTTCGAGCAGCCCCAGACAGCCGCCAGCTGGCAGGCGCACCACAACAGGGTGCGCATCCGAGAGGCCCTCAGGGAGATGTTCTCCCAGGCTCCACACTAGGTCACTTCTGTCTCGCATCCACATCCCCTTCCCATCTCCAAGCCTTCCCTCCCAATAAACACAACTTTGTTTAACCAACAATAAACTATTTATATACATAAGGATGAAGGGTGGGCAGTGGGAGGGGGCTCTGAACTGGGAGAGGGAGTTACTGCTGGAAGGGGCAGCTCCTCCAGCATGTCCACGGGTGCAGAGGCCTCGGTGCCCTTCAGCCCGGGTTGGGGCAGGCAGAAAGGAAAGGTGGGCAGGATGGGGTGCAGTGGGGGGGCAGGGCATGAGTGTGGCAGGAGAGGGCATGGGCACAGGGAGGGCAGCAGGGTGAGGCAAGGCCATGCCATAGTGGATGACATGGCCGATGAGTGACATGAGGGTGGAGATGGTGTCGCACATGCGGTCGCACCGCTGGAGGATCTGGCCCCACACCTGCTGCTGCCATTGTCTGCTTCCCCTGGGCCACTTCCAACCTCCCCCTCAGTCTCTACCTGGCTCTCGGTCCACTGCGGGTTCCAGTGTCCTGGTAATCTGTGTTCTGGGGTAGGGTAAAGAAAGTTTCCTCTTCAGGGCTAGGGCCTGACAGCACGGGCCACTCCTTGACCTCTGCCAGATCCTCAGGGCCCTCCTGGCATGGGAACTCAGGGCAGGCCTTTGCTTACCTACTGAGCTCCTGGGCTGGACTTTTATGCCTCCTGCCCCACTCCTGGGCCTCTGTGGAATTAGAGAGGCAAGCTCAGTCTCAGCCCACCCGGGCTCAAAGAGGGGTTCTTCCTCCTCAGGGTCAGTGAGCAGCCATCCCTGCTCACTACATACCCCTCCCCCCTTAAGTCCAGCTCCTGGTCCACGGGGCTGGGCACTTGATCTTCCCCCACCTGGGACAGGCAATCAGCATTGGAATTCACCTTCCCCGGCTTGGTCTTGTACGGTAAAAGTATACTGCTGCAGGGTGAGATACAGTCGCATTATCCAGGCATTGGCATTTCTCATGTTGTGCAGCCACTTGAGGGGTGCGTGGACTGTAATTAGTATAAACGAGTCCCCTAGGAGGTAATAGCATAAGGCTTCAACCACCCACTTAATGGCCATAACCACCAGAATAGTTTCACTCCCTAGGAAAGAAAGAGTTTGACTAATATAAAGGACAAGGTGTTCCTCCCCATCCACGTCTTATGAGAGTACTGCCCCCAGCCTGATTTCCAAAGTGTCTATTTGTACAATGAAGGGTCAGTCGAAGTCAGTGCTGAAAAGGACCGGTTCTCTACACAACACATCCTTCAGGGTCTGGAAGACTTCCTCACATTCCGACACAATGCGTCCTTCAGGGTCTGGAAGGCTTCCTCACATTCCAGGTCAACGATGCCAGAAGGTTTGAACCACAAAGTGGTGGTAGTAACTAGCCAGCCCAAGGAACTGCCGTACCTTATGCTTCGTGGTAGGAGCAGGGTACTTTTAGACAGCCTCTACTTTTCTCATGAGGGGGGGCACCAATCCCCACCCCAACCGGTACCCCAGTTAGGTAATCTCCTGCCATCCAATATGGCATTTTTTAGAGTTGGCCATGAGGCTGGCATCCTGGAGTGTTTGAAGGACAGCCACCACTTGTAATAAATGTTCATTCAAGTCTTGGCTGTAGTGTAGACTACCACATTGTCTACATAGGCTGCATGGGGGCTTAATAATCGGTCCATCATCCACTGGAAGGTGGCTAGGGCCCCATGAAGGCCAAAAGGCATCCAGACAAAGTGAAACAGGCCAGAGGGCGTGGAGAACACCATTTTCTCCCGGGACTCTTGATCTAAAGGGATCTACCAATATCCTTTTCTACAGGTCCAGGGTGATAAGATATTGAGCCATTCCAAGACAGTCTAGCATCTCTTCAGTTCTAGGCATCAGGTACGCATCAAATTTCAATATCACATTGATCTTGCAGAAGTTGATGCAGAATCGACTACCCTCAGGTTTTGGGACAAGAACCAAAGGGCTCCTCCACTCGCCAATCTCTCAATCACCCCTAGGTCTACAATAGTCTGGACTTCACCTTCCACAGTCTCCCTCATCCGTGTTGGTAGGGGGCGGGTCCCTTTACACACTATTTGGCCGGGAGGAATGGGTTATGACCATCCTCCAGCCAGGGAAGGTGGTAAAGGTGTTCTTTAAAGCTTCTATCAATTTTTGAACCTGCTTCCACTGACTTTCAGTGTGTCACCCAGCTGTGGTCCTTCCTCCTTGGCTAACTCCGGTACCTGCGGTCCCAGTGCCAGCTCCAAGGGATGGGGTTAATAAGTAACCCTTCCAGTGCTTGCCATGGTTTCAGAAGGTTGACATGATTAACTTGCCTCTTCTTTCAATCAGCCTGGTGGACCTTGTACATGATTGAGCTTATCTAATGGGTGACTAAACCTCATTCTATGAGGAATAACGTCTATTCTGAAATCGCTATTTCAAAATAAGGCATGTGTAGATGCTCCACTGTTATTTCGAAATGGCCCCTCACCAGGGCCATTCTAAGTTACTCCTCCCCGGTGCCTCCTGGGGCTCTAAATCGAGGTAGCACGTCTACATTAGGGAAGCCTGCCTTGAACTAATTTTGAGGTTTGCCTGTAGTGTAGACCTGTTATTTCAAAATAAGCTATTTTTTATAATTATTCCAGAATAGCTTATTTTGAAACAAGTGTGCAGTGTTGACACACTCAGTGAAACTGAGTGTGACTGCTTAATAAAGTGGCATCAAGAAGCTTTTGGATCCTTTCCTTTTCAGCAGCTAAAGGGTATGGGTCTTTAAATGTACCAAACACCTACTAGACAAGAGCTGATATGATACAGACTCACTCAAAGACTCAGGCCAAAAGGGTCACCTAGTTTGACCTCCTGCATACTACAAGCCTCAGACCCTCATCTACCCACTTCTGTAATAGGCCCCTAACCTCTGGCTGAGTTACTGAAGTCCTCATATAATGATTTTAAAACTTCAGGTTACAGAGAATCCACCATTTATACACTAGTTTAAAGCTGCAAGTGTCTCATGCTCCATACAGAAGAAGAATGGCAGAGATCCTGGAGGATTTTAGTTACAGAGAATCCACCATTTATACACTAGTTTAAAGCTGCAAGTGTCTCATGCTCCATACAGAAGAAGAATGGCAGAGATCCTGGAGGATTTTTGCCAATCTGACCTGGGGAGAAAATTCTTCCTGACTCAAAATATGGGAATCGCTTAGACTTGCAGTGGACAACCAGGGCCAATGAGTGGGCTGCATGACTGTCCCTCCTTCATATCAGTGGGCTACAAGATTGCCATAACCAATGCAGCGTCCTGGGATAGGGTACCTTTGCTAACTGCCTTTGTATACTAAAACTTGTGGGGGGAGCCAATTGAACCACAGCCATACTTTGATGGGATGTAGAGGGCGGGCATGGCTCCCCTAAAACTTGTGGGGGGAGCCAATTGAACCACAGCCATACATTTACTGTGAGGGGAGCCATGCCCACCCTCTACAGCCCATGTTGTGTGCAATGAGCACACACCTCACTTGACACACCCTTGCTTTACAGGTGAGTCGGTTTAGTAATACTGGAAGAGAAAAATCAATATGGATTGAAACTAGCTGAATCTGGAAACCCTGCAATGGTAAACAAAATGTCTTGCGGACCATACACAGAACCCCAATGGGCCGCATGTAGCCCATCACCGAGTTAGACCCTGAACATGTGAAAAAAACCCACCAGACAGACATCTGGAAAGTATGGAATAGGATCCAGGAACAGCACTTTGGTGAAAATCACAGCAGCTGTGAATGATGGAGCTAAACTTCTCATAAAAGCTTTCTCTCAGGCCCTCACTCACGGCTCACACTAATTAATGCATGTTTCATATTTCCACATATCAGGAGTCATCTGCTAGGTGTCTAGTAAATGTTTAAGTCATGGTAAACATCCAGGATGACAGCACAGCAGAGACAGCACCTCTGACACAAACATCTTCCAGAGATCCCTCCACAGACAGTGCAAATATTTAAAGAACAGAAGAGAACCCTTTCACTTTTTGAATGCGGAAGGCTCAGCATCTGTTGGAAGCAGCATTTACATGACATACCATATATTAAAAGTGTGGCACTCCTTGCACGAGATTCTGAAGCATTGCTTCAGGTACTCTACTTGTGGTGGCAGACAAGTGAAGTTAGTGACAATTACGTCATACCATGGAGACCCATTCTACATGTGGACCACGAGACATTTTGATTATGGTTGCCTATGTGCAGGGCCGGACAAAGGCATGGGTGAACCGATGGGGGGCACTTGATGGCAGCTGTAAGGGGCGCGTGGTGTTCCTTACAGCTGCCATCAGGAGCCACGCACCTGGCTCCAGCAGCGCCGGCCCCGTGGCACCGGACAGCAGCGCCCTTGCCCCCCCGGCTGTGGGGCCCTGCATGGCCCGGTGCGTGCGCCAGCAGCGCTGGCCAGGCCGGGCCAGGCAGCGCATGTACCGTGTGCCCCAGGGGCAGGCCTGCACATGTGCCCTGGGGTGGTGCCGCACGCTCAGGCCCAAGGCACCAAAAGGGCTTGGGCTGGCCCTGACTATGTGCAAGGTTGCCAGATTCCACTGTTATCCATTCACATAGGGTTTTTTTGCTACCAGTATTACTGAAACACACATCAAGCAAGGTCATGAGGTGCATGCAAATTGCACACAACAATGACTGTAAGAGCCATGTGCTCCCTCTGCAGACAATTAGAGCGCTGCTATGGTTCAATCGGCACACCCTGCAAATTCTAGGTACACAAACATAATTAACAAAACTACCCTATCCTCGGAGACGGTCTTGTCTAGGTACACAAACATAATTAACAAAACTACCCTATCGTCGGAGACTGTCTTGGTTATGACAATATTGTGGCCTACTGAGATGGAGGGCCACTCGTGCAGTGTATTCACTAGCCTGGGTTGCCCATCACTGTTCAAATCTATAGTATTTACAGATAAACCCACACATGACTTGTACTATTTCTGGGAGCCTGGAACGATTTACCTGGGATTCATTAATTATTTCAAGGGCTCTTGGTTTTAT